CCTTTGGGGTGAGTTGCATTTCCTTTCATATTTTTTTTACCATGTGACACATCAGGAGACCTTTCTGCACTGTCGGCCTCAAGGGCATGGGAAACAATGAAGCAATAATTATGCTGGTCCATGTTTCTCCCTTGCCTTTAGTAAGCTCAGAGCAAACAAGGCTGCCGGCTATGAATGAGCAATTGTGCTACAGCCTTTTTCCTCCTTACTGTTCAAGCCGAGTGTACAAAGCTGCTCATTAGCCAGTGATTAGAATTTATCCAACTCCTTGCTTTCCACCCCAGACCTTTTAGACCGGTAGAAATATATAAATAAGTCCTGTCTAAACATATTGCATTATAAGTGCAGATTTTGGTTGGAAGAAGTGGTGTATCTGAATTTTCTAGTCTAACAATCTACTAATAAGTGTGTTTTGTTAAAAATGCAATGATTTCTAAAACATTTTAAAAACGAATGGAATTATTCTTCCATATCAAAAGTCATTCTATTCTGATGTGTTGAATTTTCAATATCAGCCCAACATTGCTAGGCAATGGCACTTTTATTAATTAATTAATAACTTGAACAAAGATCTCAAGGTTTGCATTGATGAAGTGCCTGACTGAATTACTAACATCATCTGTTCTCACAATTTCTTTCCTTCTCTGGTTTTCAGTTTCCTTAGTTATAGAAGAAGACAGTTGGCCTAAATTACTGGTTCACAACCCTAGTGGCACGTTAGAATCCTGTAGGAAGCCTTGGGAGAAACCCAGATGCCCAGGCCCTACCCCAGACCAATAAAGCTGAATGCCTGAGGGAGAAATCTACACTTTCAGTTAAATGTTTCCCTGGTGATGATAAAGTACAGTTAGGACAGAGAGCTACTAGAGCTGAGGATCTCCACGGCTCTCTCTAACTCTGTTTTTATAACATGGTGTATATGATATATTAATTTTGAAAGCTCTCTTACACATCAGTTTGGCTGAATTTTAATGTGTGACTACAGATGCATTTCAGCATCACGTGTATGCGGCATTGGTCTCGAGCCTGTTTAAGTGGAGTCTATCTAGTGCAGCTTGCAGCTCTGTCCTTAAAACTGCTTCCATTCCCAGTGCAGCTCACCAGGCAGGTCACCCTGATATTTCTCCACAAACGAGGAATGGGTTCCCTAATTTAAAGTTTCCCAAGACAGCTGGGCTCTTTAAGGACTTTAGATTACAGTTATCATTTAAAAAATGTATTTCTTGTGGAAACTTCTCATTCTGGAAGCTGTTAAATACTAAGACCACATCTGGGGCTAATTCAACAAGAATGTGTTGGTGTCTGTTGGATATCAAACTGTGAGCCAACCCCTGGGGATATAAAGAAGACCTGGCTCTTGCCATGAGGGACACACCCTCCAGTCAGGGAGGCAGCAACATGAACAGAGGAATTACAATATCCCACAGCCAGGGCTGTAAAACAGAGATGAGGATAAACCACCAAAAGCTGCATAGTCTGGTCAAGCAAGAAGTTAGCGAGGAGACGAAGTTGAAGCTGGATCTTGAAAGATGTGTAGAAGGTTGGGAAAGCAAAGTAGACAGAGAAAGCAATTCTGGGTAGAGGAAACTGCCTATACTAAACTTAGAATTTCACCCAGTAAATACTGAGATATTTTCTGTCATATGAGCATGAATGTGTGGTTTTGGCTGTTATGAGTGAATGAAGGGGAAAGACACTGTCACGGGAGGCTAAGGGGACAAGAGTGGGGAGATTAAGTGCCATTGTGAGACCTTTTATCTGAATTGTTAGGATTTTAAAACATGAAAATCGTATGGCTGATTCCTAAAGCCAGTTCTGGTTACAGCATGGAGCATGCAGGGAAGGGGAGGCTGAAGTGTAGAACTGGGCAGGGATATCATTTGTAAAATTGTTGCAAGCTCAAGTGAGAAATTATAACATTTGTATATGACTCTGACATACAGGCTTTGAATAAATATTCTGACAATGTTTTCCTGTTTTTGAAAAAAAAAACATTTTCAAGCTGTTACTCTTAATAATTATGTTTGATTTCTGTATTCTAGAAATGTCTTAAGACCAAGATGAGCAACCAACATATGTAACAGAGCCCCTCAAGGATAATTAGCTAGGACTCTTAATATTTCCTTGCATATATTAGGCTCCTAATTTTAACTAAAAATATATTCTCATGACTGTAGAAAAATAATTGTGTGGATCTAGTCACCCTTGCAGCAACTTAAATTTCACATCATCCAAAGAGTACAGTATTTTATTCATTGAGACATTTCATTAAGTCTAGAAAAGGAGGCATGGCGTGTGGTGGGCAGAGCGTTGAGCTGGGAACGGAAGTGGCATTCTTATAGTGGAACCAACATTAATTGCTCTGGGACGGTAGATAAACCTGACCTCGCTATGGCTACTAGTGCTTTAACCTCTTCATTTCCCACCAATTCAGTTATTTATTTTCTATATCCAGTGTAGATTTCCTGGCCCTTCCATGCAACTCCTTTTTGTAACACTGCTCTTAGTTCCTGTGACCTAAAAACAGCCCAACAGAGAATACAGAATTTCCAGGTAGGCTTTCCCCTCTAAGACTCTGCTCCAAAGCTAACCAGTCTGTTTTCAGTAGTCCTTCCTTTTCTTTCCAGAATCTGTGATCCATTGATTATTCATTTCCTTTTCCCATCTTTGAATCAGTAAGAAAGACTAATTTATGATGTAGCAAACAACCCCAAGCCATCACTGGTTGAGGACAAAAACCTGTGCTTTTGTTCACAACCTATGCCCATTTGAACGAAGGGGGCACTGCCCAAGTTGCCCAGGCTTCGAGCCTTGGAGTGACAGATCAGCCCCCAGGTGAAATACTGCCTGCCATCAGGAGAAAAGGAAACAGAGGCCAGCAAAGCCACACTGGTTCTTAAAGCTTAAACTTGGAGGAGCATACGTCACTTCTGCATAATTTACTAGAACCCAGGGCAAGTCACATACCAAAGCTACCCTCACAGTAGTTTTGTGCCCAGAAGGCAGAGCACCGGGATGTTCGGGAACAAGCTCATGAACACATACCCTAGTGGAACCATCGATAAAGTTTTAAGTTAGCAAATGACATGTCTGTGGAATATCAGATTTGAATTTTAAGAGGTGAGTCCCCTGGAGGATGGAAGGTGATTGAGGACGAGACTGGAGGTGTGTCATTGCAGTGTAATGATTCCAGAGACAGATGATAAGGGCTTGAACTAACGGCAGGAGCATGGGAAAGAGGATTAGACTAGAAAAGAGAAGCATAAAGCTTTCCCCAGTATGATCTGTTAGCTGCAAATGGAGGAGATGAAACAAGGGTGCCCTTCACCAAGATTGCACTAGGTTTATGCCATCAATTTGGAGGTTTCAATGTTCCAGCCTTTTGTGCAAGGCCTCTTCATTTCTAGAAGACTCTTGGATTCCAAACAGGTGGTTATTTGTAGTGAACAGAACTTGGGACAGGGCTCATAAACCTTTCTGTTCATTAAACCCCACCTCTCCAAGAAAGAATCCATTGGCTTCATCACTTACGTTTTAGTAGCTGCAATATGAGAATTGATTTTTGTTTGTACATTCCAGTTAGTAGGGATATAACCATTATGGATGGACTTTCTAGTAGAGGAAAATGACTTAAAGTATAAGTAAGTACTTATTGTGCTATCAAGGAAATAAAGCAGACTTTTTTTAATGAGAATAAATTAGAGGTGAGTCAAATGAAGGCTTTTTGTGGCCATTTTGTTATTGCTTGTGTGGTCAGTTTTGCGAAAAATTTGATTCAATACTCACCAAACCCTTGCCATGGGAATTTCTGATCATCTGTATGGTTTCACATGTTACATATTTGAAAATTACATTTATCCTTCTTCCAGATTAGTGGTTATTTACAACTCCAGCAATTTCCACAAACAGTTCTTTGAAAACCAGTAAGAGAATTATAAAATTAATACAGTTGATCATCAGTGCTGATTTAATTTTGTTAAAAATCGGTTATTCCAGCTGTAATTTAAAGTTACCTCTCTTCTTTCATCTCATTTTTGATGAAATTATCAGGGGCGATGCAGTTTAATAATTGCTACATTTTTAACTACTCATCCCATGAATTTCTGAAGTTTGCTTTCCTTCTAACATTTCTTTCTCTTGTCCCTGCCTTCTAATCCAGAGGGCATCTCCTCTGTATCAGGATAATGGCTTTCCCTTTCCTTTCCCAAAATGTTTCTTTATGCAAAAAAAAAAAAGAACTTTAGGACTTGGTCTTTTGAAATGCTAAAATAATTCTTGGGACTTCAGAGTCTTGGTTTTGAAACTTAAAGGTCTTGGCTTTCTTAATTAAAAGCAAAACTACTTTTTTGTTGAATTTTCCCTTTCCATAATTGGTAGGGGAAGGAGAAATAGTATGAGAGGAAAAATGCTTAGTTAATATATTAAATATCATTCCTTCCAATAACTCTTATTTTCATACTTCTGAAATACGTATCTGGAGTTTTTTACACTTAGTAAAGATATATGTTCTTAGACACCAAAGAAAAGATTCAGATAGGAAAATTACCCAAGTCTCCTACTAAACTTTTCATCAATAAGCAATCAGTTAGCTTGTTACAAGCTTCTGACATTTGCATATGGAAAAGAAAGTAACTAGTATCACTAACTAGTAGTTGAGATTCCAGTAGCTGCGTAGGGCTTTTAGGAAGGCTAAATAAAGTAGTGCATGCATGTCAGTGAGTGTGTACACTATTCACAACTTCTTGGACATGGAGTTATATAAATTCATACCCAGCAAAAACTTGTATTCAAGAGAATAAATTCTAATATTAGTGTTGTTTTCTTTTAAAACATGTAGGTTTTTTTCTTCATTGTAAAAGTTTTGAAAATAGATGAAAATAAGTAGAGATAACTTAAAAAATTGCATTCTAAACATTATGCATGACAAATTATGCATTTATATTAGCATTTATCATGGATTTTTGGGTTTAATTGTTTTCTATTTTTTTTTTCCCATTCAGAGATTTTATCAACAGTCTTCGACTGTACAGGACATTCTATGGAGGCCTGGCTGATCAGATTTGTGTTAATGAATTAGCCGCTGCTGATGGGCCTTGCTGGAATGGAGAAGATATAGTAAAAAGGTACTTTATGTGCAGTGGTCTGAGAAAATATAATTGCTGTTTTCACCCTTGATTTCTTTACCCAGATCTTGAATGAATTACTTCAGTTTTAACTTTGCCACACAGCTTAGAGTATACATTAATTCCTCTTTAGTTTGTTAAAAATAAATTTGATCATTTTGATATTTTAGTAATATGATGATAGCATTTTGTGGTGTTTTAAAAGTTTTCTCTTCTTTTCTCCCTATTTGTGACTTACCCAATGATCCTACTTTTTCAATTATTATTTAACTTCTATTCAATCTGTCTTGTTTATCAAATATCTTATTTTTTTTAGTTTAATTTTATGAGTAGCAAAAAGTAAGGAAATTCAGTGCAATGTGAAAACCTATGCAGAGGTTCACTGATACATTTTGTCTCAGGAGTGTTAATATGTCCATCTATAATTGTTCCTTTGTGTGTCCATGTTTATAAGAATGGGTTACATTTATGTCTGTGTGAGGCATTGTTTACTTGTATGTTGTCAGCTATTCTCAAGCTCAGGAGTGTGATTTTTTACCTTTTTTTCTTCACTGTCTACAATTTCTTTGACAGTTTATTTTCCTTTGCTTTCTATACTGATTGTACTCTCAAGTAATCTCCTGAGCCTGAGAATGTCCTAAATTCTCTCGTGTGTGATATATAACAGTGGTCAGTATAATCGGCTGGGAATTAGTCCTTTGATTTTTCTAATGCCTGTTATTATTACAGAATATAGGCTTGTATTGCCTTTGGAGTGCAATGTTTTAGTGTGTTTTATTTTGAGCGATCTTCAAAAAGAAATATAGGGTGTTAAGCTTTCTTATTTACAAATACACCTACTCCATATGAAAATTGGTGGTTTAGTTACCACAAGAGTGATTAGTTCATTTAAAATGCCAGTTAGAAAATTAAATTTACTATGCTAAACATACACTGTAATTAACTTTACTACAAAGGTATATAATAAAAAACTGTTTATGTATTTCAGGGTGATCATATTCATTATAGTTAAATTCATTATCAGATATATTCCTGATATATTAAATGATTATTTTATAGTTTATATCAGAATATCTCATAGAGATTCTTAGATTTCACAGAGAAAAAATTATTGAAGACAGGAACTATATTTAAATTTAAATAAAATATTTGGCTGGCATGGCTGGTGCTCTTTTTTCATTTTGTGTCTTGGATATTGGAATGTATCTTCTAAATATATCTTTCTGGCCTTTACCAAGAGCAAAGATAGTATGCCTAGTACTCTGAGTCTTTATAGTATTTACATCAATAAAATTTCTGCTGCTTAGATCTAGTAATGAAATGCTACTTTAACTTATACTTCCTCTCTTCACATTGTTCAAACTGGAATTGAACTATTTGTATAGTAATGACTTTTCTACAGGGCTTAATGAGAATCCCATAGTCACTAATGAATGGTGTAGTATATAATATGAATAATTTAATATATTACATTACATTATATTATATCATTTGATTCTAGAGCTGCAAGCACTTTAGTTTCAATTTGTCCTACTCCTCTCTTGATTATTTGGTCTGGGGTTTGTATAATAGGAGATACTGTTAGAGAAATCAGTGATTTGGGAAAATTTATTCGAGAGATAGTTTTTTCAACTCAAAGTACAGATTTTCTTCTATGTGACATATTTTTAAGACCTCATTTATGGTTTATGAACAATGAAAGCTCATCTTTAGCAAGAATTCTTTATGGAAATGGTCTACATTTCTGATAAGGAAAGTGAGTGATTCTCCTTATTCTCCTCTGCTTCCAGCTGCTGTCTTCCCTTCCCTGTATCCCTCTTCCTCCTGTCTGTCTGCCACCTCTCAGTGCCCTGTGGGACTCCGCTCTCCTGTGAGCAGCTTTCTCTTTGCTGTTCACATCCCTATCTCTCATCCCTATCTCATGGATCATGGGCCTGCACCCATTTCCCTTTGCTTGCCAGACCAGCGACAGCCTCACACACTGGCTCCTCCACCACCTCTGGGCAACTTCCAAAAATGAACATTTTTCAGTCCTTAAATATCAGCCAACATTTTGTGAGCATTATCTCATTTAATTCTTCTAAAGCTTTATTCTCTCATGCTCTAAACTAAGTTGACTGAGTGCTATCTTATTTCTATTTGATCTTGAGAAAACTCTCATATGTACTTTGACTTTAAAAAATGCAATTTAAATTGTAATTTCATTCTTGGCTCAACCATTTCTTGACACAAATTTGGAACAGGTTTTTTTTTTTCAATTGCAAAGTTAAAGTTAAAACTTAAATATCCATCGTATCAGGTGGTTGATTATGGTGTATTCACCATGGAATGTTATATGGCAGCCAAAAATTGTTCATATTTTTACTTGCTATTATGGAGTATTTCAAATAATTATTAAGTAGAAATTGTTAAAAAGAGGATGCTACATATTTCACCAGCAGATTTGAAATATAAAAATATGATATTGGTTCTGCATAGAGTATTTCTGGAGAGTTACACCAAGACTGATAATATACTTAAGAAGTACAAGGGGGCTTTTATTTTTTATTTGCATTGTTTTTATTTATGTTTAATGAAAACATAGTGATATTGAATTATGAGTCATTATTGTTTTCTTCTTTTTATAATTCTTTCTTGATATAAAAGTGCTATTTTTACATTTAATTTCTAGTCATTGGCATTTTCATAGTACTTTTTGGTATAGTTTTGTCAAAGCATTAATGGATATGTTTCAATACTGAACTACTGAATTTCTCTAAGAGGGCTTCAATATAAAGTCAAGTCCTGATGAATGATGAAACTTCAAAATATTAGCTACTTTCTTCCTGAAAAAGAAATATAACAGAGATCACTGTGTGAAAGCACTAAGATATTCATTTCAGAAACCAACAGTTAGTTGAAATAAATAGTCCCACTGAATTTTGAGGAAATGAATCATCAAGTGAATGTATACCACATTTGGGGATGATAAAAGTTTTCCATTTTTTATAGTAGGCTATAATACTCATCAAATTTATTCTAAAGGAATTATACCAAACCCATCAATACAATAAATTGATGGCAAAATTGAGACTATCATTCATTATAAGAGCAAAGTGATTATTTTGGCAAGATTTCTTCTCCTGAAGGCATTTTGCAGGAGATGATTGATAAGATTATTTATGTGCACAGACATGCTACCTCAAAGAATAGGAGAACCATACAGATTATTTCAATATTGTGATAGTCCCATAAAAATGAACCTTCATACTCATCAAAAGAGGTTTAATTCCTTTGTGATTGTAGATGAAAATATCTCAAATATCTGTAGTATGTAAGATTCTTGAATTCTTATAAAAAATGTATTTTAATTCAAATGATTTTAGAGACTGCACGCCTACCATAAACTCTACTGCAACATTGAGGTCAATCAGATAACCGCTGATTTAAGATGAAAATGTATTACTGAAATCTAAGTAGTTTCCATCTCTTAAGTCTCTCTTATCTACTCCTTCTTTCATCATAAAGTAAAATTGTTCTCTGAAAGGCACGTCAGTTCCTCTCTTCTCAGAACTCTTTCCTCTGTCTTCTGTGACTGGAAATTGATTGGCAGTTTGCACTCATCTTTCTGAGTATTGATGTTCAGGTGACAGCTACTTATTAACCATTGCTTCCTTTTCCCTTTTGATTAGTAGACAGATAATCCAGTAACTTTCCCTCAATCTCCAGGAATTTATGGCTTCCACAATGACTCTTCAACTGGCTAATAGCTTAGTATTTTAGTAAAATTCATAATTCACATGATTTGTCTTGATTTAGTTAATGCTCCTTAATGTTTCTTTCATAATCTATTTTTTTCAATCTTATGGTAAGGTAACCCCTTCTCAACATATTATAATTGATTTTTTAAAAATAAAATAAAAGTATAAAACTTTTAATTCTTCTAAAGCTTTATTCTCTCATGCTCTAAACTAAGTTGACTGAGTGCTATCTTATTTCTATTTGATCTTGAGAAAACTCTCATATGTACTTTGACTTTAAAAAATGCAATTTAAATTGTAATTTCATTCTTGGCTCAACCATTTCTTGACACAAATTTGGAACAGGTTTTTTTTTTTCAATTGCAAAGTTAAAGTTAAAACTTAAATATCCATCGTATCAGGTGGTTGATTATGGTGTATTCACCATGGAATGTTATATGGCAGCCAAAAATTGTTCATATTTTTACTTGCTATTATGGAGTATTTCAAATAATTATTAAGTAGAAATTGTTAAAAAGAGGATGCTACATATTTCACCAGCAGATTTGAAATATAAAAATATGATATTGGTTCTGCATAGAGTATTTCTGGAGAGTTACACCAAGACTGATAATATACTTAAGAAGTACAAGGGGGCTTTTATTTTTTATTTGCATTGTTTTTATTTATGTTTAATGAAAACATAGTGATATTGAATTATGAGTCATTATTGTTTTCTTCTTTTTATAATTCTTTCTTGATATAAAAGTGCTATTTTTACATTTAATTTCTAGTCATTGGCATTTTCATAGTACTTTTTGGTATAGTTTTGTCAAAGCATTAATGGATATGTTTCAATACTGAACTACTGAATTTCTCTAAGAGGGCTTCAATATAAAGTCAAGTCCTGATGAATGATGAAACTTCAAAATATTAGCTACTTTCTTCCTGAAAAAGAAATATAACAGAGATCACTGTGTGAAAGCACTAAGATATTCATTTCAGAAACCAACAGTTAGTTGAAATAAATAGTCCCACTGAATTTTGAGGAAATGAATCATCAAGTGAATGTATACCACATTTGGGGATGATAAAAGTTTTCCATTTTTTATAGTAGGCTATAATACTCATCAAATTTATTCTAAAGGAATTATACCAAACCCATCAATACAATAAATTGATGGCAAAATTGAGACTATCATTCATTATAAGAGCAAAGTGATTATTTTGGCAAGATTTCTTCTCCTGAAGGCATTTTGCAGGAGATGATTGATAAGATTA